ATGTGTACAGAAAGGGAAGGAATTTTGGTGGCCATCTTTGGAGACTCATGCTGGCCATTAAAAATCATACTGTATAGAAATATTTTATGGCATTAATGTTAAGTGGAGAAAGGAGGTGATGTTAAGAATAAAGCCACTGAAAAAAAAGGAGAGTACAGGACTTTATATAGAATATAATACTAATTTTGTCTAAAATAAATACATATAAAATTATGCGTATACACACACACACTTAAAAGGAATTGGAAACAACAGCATCAGCTTGTTAACAGGTTGTCCATGGGTGGTAGAATTGAGAGTGTTTTCATTTTCTTCTATACACATATCTGTATTTTTAAAATTTTCTACAATCATCTATTAGTTGTTTTAACAATTAAGAAAACTGATCATTTATTAGGCCAATTAGAAAGTCTTGACAAATTTCAAAGATTAGAAGACATATGTGTTATATTCTATGATCTCAGTGCCATAAAATTAGAACTATAAAGTTTTAACCAAAAACTTCTATTCACCTTGAGATTAAAGTATATATTTTTTAATAATTCCTTCAAAATAAAAATAGCAAGCTATTTACAAATGATAAGAGTTCTATACATACAATCTTAAAGTATGCAACCAATGTGTATAGTCTTACATGCATTCATCTGATAATATGATTGAAGATAAATGAATATTTAATACAAAAAGGCAAAATTAACTAAACGCAAAAGAAGTACAAATTATTGTTAAGGATAACGAGATACTGATAAAATGGGAAGACAGAATGGAGTAGAATATACCAATAAAACCAAGAGCTATATAGTTAAAACACTAAAAAAAAATAGACAAACACTTTTCATTTTGTCGTTGAGAAAAACAGAAAAGTACAAGCAGCATTAGGAATATATGGGGATGAAACTGGAGGTTTTAGAAAAATTTTAAGGAAAAGTTGTACAAAGCAATATCAGTGCTGACAATTTAGCTGGAATGGACTGTTTCTGAAGAAACATTTTTATTATTACTGACACAAAATAGGGTGACAAACCTGAGTAGATCAGTAAACATAGTAAAAAATGAAAAGATAACCAACAACTAAGCCCATTCAGTTGTATGGATGTGTTCTACCAAACATTTCAGGAATAGAGAAGTCTCATGTGATGCGAACTGTTCTAGAACAGACCAAAAAATGGAAAGCTTCTCAGTCCATTCTGTGACACTAGCATAAAACTGATACTAAACCTAGAAAAGGAGAACCAAAGGGCCATTGTCAGCATGTATTGCTCTTTAAATCTGGAAACATTATTTCAAACAAATTAATATGTTTATGTGTGTCTTTGTTATGTGTATGTTGCATGTATGTGGGTTTCCAAAAGGAACAAATCCACTTTTTGTTTGTTGGTTGTTGCAATTCTCCCAAGCCTTGGGCAGCTGGGCTGGTAAAATCACTGGAGATTAAATCTGTGTGGCTGTGAATTTTATTGCATTTGGATTAGGATCTCCAACCCTGCTGCAGACCTAAGAAATGTCTGCCTTCAGACACCAGAGAAGACAGGGAGAACAAATTAGATGTCATCACTTCTTTTAGGAAGAGAATTCTCTTAAGTAGTGGCCCAACTAGGACCTAGATTCCTAGATTCTAAGCACAGCAAATATAACAAATTTGTTTAACTGTTGGAATTGTAGAAGGAAAAGAAAAGTATTTTATTAAGTTAATAGCAATAAACACCTACATTAAGAAAAAAGAAAAATCTCAAGTAAACAACCTAACTTTACATCTCAAGGAACTAGGAAAAGAAGAACAAACTAAGCCAAAAGTTAGTAGAAGGCAAAAAGTAACAAAGATCAAAGCAGAAATAAATGAAATATAGACTAAAAAGATAATAGAGGGGGCCGGCCCAGTGGCATAGTGATTAAGTTCGCATGTTCTGCTTCTTGGCAGCCCGGGGTTCTCTGGTTCGGATCCTGGGTACGGATGTGGCACTGCTTGGCAAAGCCATGCTGTGGTAGGCGTCCCACATATAAACTAGAGGAAGATGGACATGGATGTTAGCTCAGGGCCAGTCTTCCTCAGCAAAAAGAGGAGGATTGGCAGCAGTTAGCTCAGGGCTAATCTTCCTCAAAAAAAAAAAAAGGATAATAGAAAAATCTTTATTATAGAAAATTTAGAACATGCAAATAAACAAAGGGAAGAAAATGAAAGCCACTTGGAATCCCACTGCTATTAACATTTTGATCTGTGTTGTTCTGATCTTCTCTGTAAGTTAGTGTGTATCTATGTATGTGAGTTTTACAAAAGTGTAAGTAAACCATGAAAACGTTTTGTAGTTTCTCCCCTCTCCCCACTACTAGTATGTCATGAACATGTTTCTATCTCATTAAATATTCATGTACCTGTAAAGATCACATTATTTCACTGTCTGTCTTCTTCATCATTTATGTAACTGAATTCATTTATGTTGGAAATAGGAAATTTTTTTTTGTGGAACAGGTTATTCATGCAAAAATCTTAGATACAAAATTATTTTTGTATATTTTTAAGTAAGACAAATTAAGCTCTGAGCAACATAATCATTTGAAACTAAGTTCCTTAGGGACAGGTGTATAATTCTTTGTAGGGACTTTTTAGGGAAAGGGAAGCCTTTATGGAAAATATTCCTCCATACTATATATGAAGACTCTTTAGGGTATAAATGACAGATCCCCCAACTAGAATTGAATGTAGCCAAAAAGGAAACTTATGGGCAAGGTATCAGTTATCTGTTGCCCTAGTAATGCTGCAAAACAACCAGCCACAGAGCATCAGTGACATACTAAGAAGGATTTATTTAGTCCACAAGTGTATGGGGCTTATTGAATCTCAGCTGGACTTGCTCATGCATCTGTGGTCAGCTGCTGGTTGGCTAGGCAGCTCTGCTAATCTTGGCTGGGCCTGCTCAAATGCCTTGGGGTGAGTTGGCTATTGGCTTGGACACCTTGACTGTATTTTATGTTTTTCATCTTCCAGCAGGCTAGACTGGGCATGTTCTAATTGTCATGCAGAGGAAAACACACAAGGGAGTATACACACAAGTGTTATTTTAGGCCTTGGCTTACTTCACATTTGCTATCACCTTATTGGCCAAAGCAAGTCACATGACTGAATCCAGAGTGGGATTGGGAGGGCACTGCCAAGGAAACATATACAAGAAGAGGTAAAGAATTGGGACCATTAATGCAATCAGTCTACCTGGTATATGTAACTAAAATAGCATGGGGATAGATGTAGCTTTAGTGACTGTTGGATCCAAGTAACGTCACCTGGTTTGAAGTTTGGCTCTGCTTTCCTGTGTATTAGCTTCATTCTCAGGGAAGCCCTTTCCATATGGTGGTACTCAGAAGCTCCATGTTGAAAGCAAGTAATTCTAGCTGAAAAAGCTTATCTAGCCCAATTGTTCCAACTAAAGTCATAGTATGGAGGCTTTTTGGACCAGTATGGGTCACATGCTCATCCCTAAACCAGCTGTCATGTCTGGGAGCTGGAATATGATGATTGGCCAGGCCTAGGTCATTTTGTCACCCCTGGCACCCTCTAGGATGGAGCAAAGGAGTCAGCCTTACCTAAACTTAATGAACTGTGTGTAGAGTTGGGAGCAATTTCTCTAAGGAAAATAGAATATTACCAGAAAGTGGGGTGGGAGGGGCAGAAAATGAATAAGTGATATTACCCATGTTTTATCAGTTGGGGAAAGGAAGCTCATAACAGTTAAATAATTTGCCTAAGGTCACTCAGCTAGTCAGTATTAGAGTGGAGAGTTGAACCTCGGTTTGCCCTTTTTCACAATCTATGGTCTTAGTGTCTAAAAGCAGAAAAAAGGGAATGTATACTAAACTAAGAGGAAGAGCAGGAAGCCATGATGAACCCTACTGAGGCCATTTGAGTCCTAACACTGAAGGAATAATCACCACCCTGCAGCCCTGGCTACATAAAAGCTGCACCAAGGTACTTGAGTAGCCATGACAGGGAGCTTCTACTACTTTTCTCTAGGGGTTATGGGACCAGGAGCTCTAACATGGTGTACTGTTCCCCTGTGCCATTTCTGTATAGATGTGGAGTGGTTAGTATGAATATTTAGGTCAACCAAAATGGGAAAGAAGTCCCAAAACGCCAGTCTGAAAGATGTGTGTGAAAGGGGAAAGAGACAGGACTGTCATTTTCTCTAGTGATAGCATTTAGGATCCGGCTGTATGTATAGGAGTTTCATTGGTTGAGTCACTTCTTTTTCTTCTAGCTCTGAGATGACCAATAGATTCCAACTCATGTGTCAGTGCTAGTTGATTGGTGATAAACCATCTAGACGGTTGTGTTGAGAGGAGTTCTGAACTTAGTGGAAAAGAGGACTGTGTTGGATTACTGATGTCTGTAATGGGTACAGGAGGGGGAGGTTACTAATCAGCAGGCTTGATTATTATTTGACATCCTAGGAAGCAGCAGCTTCTTAGAGTCACTGTCAAGTCACTTGTGTTTGGGGGTCATGCCCCTAGGATGGTGTATTTTATAGTTAAGCTCTCTCTGATGAGGAATTCTATGGTGAATTTTCTGGAGGTCCCAACTGTCACTTAGCACAAACCGAAATGCAAAGCTTCATTTTCCTAAGGAAAAAAGAGCTACTTTTTTGCTCTGAGAATTTTTCACTTTGCTTGGGAACAGGGTGGGGGGAATTTACAAGATGTTCACATGTAGTAAGTAAAGTTTAGAGTCACTTTTCTTCTTAAATGAACATGGGTGTGACTATCTATCCATCTATTTATCTGTCTTTATCTATCTATCTACTTATCTGTCTATCTATCTACATCTATCTATCTACCTATCTGTTTATCTATATCTATCTATCTGTCTATCTATCTATCTATCTATATTGTACATCTATCATTATCATCATCAACCTATCATCTATCTACCTATATATTTTAAAGACTATAATGCAGCTATAGTCCAGGTTCTAAAGAAGTTTATTTTAATTATGTTTTTTCTTATTTTTCAGATCTCTGATTGGTCTCATTTTCTGGTACAGACTGTGAAAAGAATGCGGTGAAAATTCTGGCCAACGGTGGAAATACCAGCTTAATCCCCAACTTAGCATAGCATTCTTTCTCTTCAGTAGCACCTCGTAATAGAAGAAAAATGTATGGAAGTGCAAGAACAATCACCAATCTGGAAGGTAGCCCTTCCAGATCTCCTCGTTTGCCAAGATCTCCTCGTTTGGGCCACCGAAGAACGAGTAGTGGGGGAGGTGGAGGAACAGGCAAGACTCTGTCCATGGAGAATATCCAGTCCCTAAATGCAGCTTATGCTACGTCTGGACCCATGTATCTGAGTGATCATGAAGGAGTGGCTTCTACAACTTACCCAAAGGGCACTATGACTCTGGGAAGGGCCACAAATCGAGCTGTATATGGAGGTCGAGTCACAGCCATGGGGAGTAGTCCCAATATTGCTTCTGCTGGACTTTCCCACACAGATGTCCTTTCATACACAGATCAACATGGTGGTCTGACCAGTTCATCCCATCATCACCACCACCAGGTTCCCTCCATGTTGAGGCAGGTAAGGGATAGCACAATGTTAGACCTTCAAGCCCAGCTCAAGGAACTTCAGAGAGAGAATGACCTCCTCCGGAAAGAGCTAGACATCAAGGACAGCAAGTTGGGATCTTCCATGAACAGTATCAAGACTTTCTGGAGTCCTGAGCTCAAAAAGGAAAGAGTCTTGAGGAAAGAAGAGGCAGCCCGGATGTCTGTCCTCAAGGAGCAGATGAGGGTTTCTCATGAAGAAAATCAGGTAGGTTATGACTCATCTCAGTGTTTTTCAGCCTTGGCTTCTCACTGAGTGGTTGATGCTTTGCAGATGGTACCACGACCTATGCAGAAGAAAATTTGGCATCATCAAGAAAGCTATGGCTTAGTGTGTGTTCGACTTAGAGACTACAAGAGGGCATAGGAAATATGAGGTTACAGCTTGTGCTCTCCTTACTTTCCTATAACCTTTTCACACTGTTTCAGAAGAGGGACATCACACCTCATTATCTAACTTTTGTATTTGGTTAATTTTATTCTCTTTTTCAGCAGTCGCAACAGCAGCTCAGCTGTACTTCCCTCTGAATAGAAGAGGAAAATGTTAATTTTTGCAAGAGTAGACACTTTAACAGCAACATTTACAGGGCCACATTTGACTGGTGGATTGATTTTTTTCTTTTTTTTGAAGCAACAGCAGCATTATTTTCTTCTAGAATGAGTAGAGTTCTCTAAATAGCAAACTGAACAATATTAAATGGGATTGGGTGGAAGGGGTTTTATATCATGTTAGAGAAACACGATAAATTTTAACCTGGTCTTTCTGCCTTTATCCATTCAATATCAATCAAGCATCCACTATGTACAAGCCACCTTCTTATTCTTCTTTGATCCATCTTCCATGTCATAGCAAGATTAGTTTCCTGAGTGTCTACCTGCAGTTATGCTGTTCCCCTGCTTTAAAGCCCTCAATAATTACTCATCGCCTCTAGAATGAAGTCTACCTCTTTGCCTGACTTACAGCACCTTCTACGGGAAGGCCTGAGCCAGCCTTTCCAGCCTTGTGTCATACCACCTCCCTCCACATCTCCTGTGCTCCCTGCCACTTTATAATTCCTGCACAGACTCAGGGTTTCCCACCTCCAATCCTTTGCTTTTTCTGTTCCCTTTCACTAGCGGCTTCTCAGCACCCTCTCTCCCTACCTCTTCCCTTTCAGTCCCAGCCGCTCTCCATTTTCAAATCCTACCTATTCTGTGAGGCTCATTTTTATGCTGCTGTTTTCATAAGGGCTTTGGAGTCAGGCGTGCCTGGGTTTAAACCCCAGCTTCACCTCTTATTAGCAGTGAGGTAAGTGCTAAGAGATGGGGAGGAGAGGATGCTGTGCCATTTGGCTGAAAAAAAATTGCCAGATATCATTTAACTTTCTGTAGAAATTTGAGATAATTCTAACTTGGCTAAACCTAGTGATTCTCTGATAAATGGTCTTGATGTTGGCCTCATGAAGCTCTCTCTGCCTCTCTTGGGGTTATCTGCTGACCTTCCTATCTGTTTCCCTGGCTACCACCCCTTTGGAGTCCAAGCACCAGTAGGAGCATTTCTGATCTGAATGAGAAACTGCTCTTCGTTCTCCTTCTGTGTGTGGAGAGCAATCGCTTTATCCCTTTGATTATCTGACAGAGCCTTTGCTGATTTTCAGATGTGGAAATGTGATTTTTAGTTGGAACAGAAAGCTTTGTTCTTTGTTCCTAAGTCAAATTAGTGCTTTTCACTATCATTTCTGCTTTTTTCTGACTTTGCTGGTTCACGAAGTCCTTGTTGAACCTGTTACTGCTATGTGCACTTCCCCAGTTCTGTACTGATTTTCTCCTTTTTCAGTTGTTTGGAAAATGGCTAAAGCAGTTTAGGAATGACGCAAGTAGTGACAAGAAGGCCATTCTTTAAACTGTCAGCTCCAAGATTACTTTTATTTTATGCTTCTATCACTAAATTTTTTCTGAGTACACACCCCCAATTATACATCTATATTTATTTAAAAATTACACCATTTGCTACTGTGCTACATTCACAAAGAGTTAAATATGGGAGAGGGCCGGCCTGGTGGCAGCAGCTGTTAAGTTCACAAGTTCTGCTTCTTGGCGGCCCAGGGTTCACTGGTTCGGATCTTGGTTGTGGATATGGCACCACTTGGCAAGCCATGCTGTGGTAGGCGTCCAACATATAAAGCAGAGGAAGATGGGCATGGATGTTAGCTCAGGGCCAGTCTTCCTCGGCAAAAAGAGGAGGATTGGTGGCAGATGTTAGCTCAGGGCTAATCTTCCTCAAAAAAAAAAAAAAAAAGAATTAAATATGGGAGAGACAAAGTAAAATAAATAATATATTGAGGTAAATTTTAATGACAAACAAAACCTTTTTACTCTTGGTAAAAACAATTTAAACCCTTTGACTGTTTCGTAAGGGTTAGTTCAGTTTAAACTAGATAATATCTATAATTCCGCTTAACTGTCCCATGTTGCCTTAAGCCAGGAGCAAATAAATACTCAAGGGTGCTCCTGTTACCCCTTCCTTGTTCTGGAACCTACTGTGATCACAGGCTACCTTGGGTACTGGGGGTGACATATGACCCAATGAAAGCCTAGTATTAATCTATATATTAACTATAAGTAAAATGTCATTATTTTCTTTTTTAGGTTAAAAATATAAAAGGAGGAAGAAGCATGGAGACTTTGAAAAGTCAATTTATTTGCAATGTGAGATAGTATTACAAAGTAAAATTATAAAGATTGACAAAAAGCAAGTTATTTTCAAAAAATTGAAGCACCCCTCCCTCCACCCTTGGAAGTATGTCAGGATCCCTTTTAGGGGTGAGCGCCTGTTGGTTGGGATAAGGTAGATCCTGCTGCAGTAATCAACAAACTTTAAATTTCAGTGGCTTAACACAGCAGAGATTTGTTTCTTGTTCACCTGAATTATGAAGTAGGTCAAGCGACTCTCCAGGGCAGCTCTCCTCCAGGCAGTGACTCAGGATCTGGGCTTTCTGCATTTTGGCACGTGGCTTCAAGAGCTGCTACTGCAGAGGAAGAGAGTGCCTGTAGATGGCACATTGGCTGCTCAGTTCCTTGGTCTGGAAGTGATACGAGCACCAGGGTGCGGGAAGTGTAGTCCTCTCTTCTTTCCAGGAAGGAGGGGAAAGTCAGATATGAGGGAGCACTAGAAATTTCCACCAGTGGGGTTTTTATGTTTCTCAAAAAGTGGAGCTAGATGAAATAAAGTTTGGGGAACAATCCAGACTTCTACTGTGGCTGGTGTTTCTATTATTACTGCTACTGCTACCAGTAGACATCTGTTGTGGGCTGGCTGTGTGCGAGGCATTGTGCTTAGAGCTTCGTGTACATTATCTTATCTAGTGTTTGCATCAGTCATCTGAGGTAGGTGCTAGACTTTTTCTCATTTTGCAGATGAAAAATAAATGTAGAGAGAATAAGTAGCTTGCCCAAGTTCACACAGCTGGTGAGTGACAGAGCTGGGCTTTAAGGCTTTGGTCTATCTCACGCCAACATCTAAGATCTTAACTTTATGTTCACTGCCTCCTTGTAGGATAACTGAGCTGTGAACAGAATCTTAGTATAACAGGAAGATTGTACTTCATATATGTTGGATAAAAAAGTGACTAGTTTTGATAGAATGATTAAGAATGTGATTTAGTTTAATCAGGATTTTCCTTCTTAATTAGGAATTTATTTTTTTCCCCAGGAATGGGTTTTGTGCTGCTTAGGGTTTCTACCATTTCTTATAATGTACTATAATTTCTTTTTAGAGGAAAAATTATGGAAACCTTTTCTGTATAGAAGAAAAGAATATAAAAGAGATAAGGGACACTTGACTGTGGTTTCTTATCCACAACAACTACTGCGTCTAGAATATAGTTCTACCAGGGGGTATGTGGAAAATTAGAATTTCACTAACCTAAATTCGGATGATCTAAAATAATTTGAATTATACTATGTGAATAGATATGGGAAGCAGGTCCATTATAGGGTGGAGGTGAGAAAGCTCAAGTGCTCTCATATATGAAATTGATAGTTCTGTGAATTTCATGCTCACTAGCACAGATCTTTCACCCTTATGTGCTGTGTTATAGTGGGCTCTCACTCATCAATTCCTTTGCAGTATATTTTGAAGTCCTAGTGGTTCTGTCCCAGGGAGCTAAACCCAACTCCAGATCTAAGGGAGGATGTTGAACACCCTCCCTGTGTTACAGGAAGTGCAGGACTCTTTGGAACCTTGGAGCCAATGGGTAAGTGGTTGTGCCCAAATTTCTCGTGTGCAAAAGGTAGATACTCAGGTTCCTGGATGGATAGTCCACCCCACATCTCCCAACTCCCACCCTCCATGTTCTCTCCAAGGCTCTACTTTTCAGCCACACAGATCTGCATGAATATAAAGAAATTTGAGACTGCTAAGAGTTACTGTACTGACATTTGGAATCATTGACTTGTTTGTGTAAACTGGAGTGCATGGACGCAAAGTTATCCTTATGATACCACTTGTACTTTTTGCTTCATGATGTACTTTTTTGAAGGTGGTAGAGTATGATGGACACCTAAATCTTTGGAATGGCATGACCTATACCATGCTCTCAATGGACATCTGCAGTACTGATTTGGGGAGAGGTGAGGAGAAAAGATTTAGAATGGATGTTTGGCTACCACTTGAGGGAGCCCCCTTATTAGTTTTAATGGCCTGTGGGGTTGGGGTGGATGTTGGGGGAGGGAGAATGCAGCTACAGGGAAGTAAGGTGACCCAATTGTCTCTAAAAGTTTATATGGTTGTCTTTTTTCTACAGCTCCATTCACCTACGTGATGGAGATCAGAGAGAGAAAACATGGTAGAGAATACATTTTTAGAAAGTTCATAATGACTTATGTCTTTCAGTGTGGTGCATGTAAGTTAGTGACTTTTCATATTCCTGGATATTTTTTGCAATTATTAACTTTCTAGTTTTTAGTGGATTATTTTTTTCCAAATTAGGTGACATAAAGCAATTTTTGCACATTTTTCTCAGTTGTGTGTGGCTAGCGAAAGATCTGCATGAATATAAATAGCATCACACACTGGGAGATTGTACTAAATCTAATATTTACCCATCTTGTGTGTGTGCAGAAGTGGGACAAGGTCATTGGGAAATGTAACCTAAGAAGTGTAAGTAAACCTGTCTGGAGAATGTTATGGCTTTTAAGCAATATGTGATCATTTCTATTTCTGGCTTA